AAAAAAAAAAAAAAAAAAAACAATGTGGTCAGAACCCCCCTTAGATGTAGGACCCATGTCTCAGGGCTTAGGGCTTCCGTTTGGGGATAAGGGCTCTGGGCTGGGAAGCGAGGCTCATGGCTTAGGAGTTTTCGGTGTGTCGAATCTCACCCTCGCGCCATGCAGGCAAGGCTCGGGTTCAAGGATTGGGTTCTAGGGCTTACGGGGAATAGGGTTTAGGGTTTAGGGGTTTAGGGTTTGGGGCTTATGGGGAATAGGGTTTCGGCGCTCAGACTCGGACAATCCAGGCGAGGCATGTGGTCTTGGGTCGGCAGGGTGAACTCTGAATTGCGATAGGGTTCGATCGTTTTTTGTTCTGTTTGCTCGGGCAGCCGCTGTCGCAAGTAGTCGCTGACCGCGACGGGGCTCTGCCATGGGTAGAGCACCTGAACATGAACCCCGCCTTTTTGGGGAAGTACTTTTTAGGGCTTGGAGCACTTTGATCTTCAGGGAGAGGTTCAAGGATTTTTTGTTTACATTGAGGCCGAAAGCATCACCCGTTCGAGTTTTAGAACATTCAGATGGGGTTCAAAAACCAAGATACCTAGACATTCTCCCTGCATAAACAGCATAAACACAGTTTTACAAGCTGAAGCATGGATCCGGGTCGTGTGCTGATTTCGTCACAGCCTGACAGGTCAGCCAGCACTCTTTGTCATAGAAGAACTCCGCCTTTGTTTTCGCGTTGAGTAGATGAATGAACCTTAACCCAACACCCCTGAACTGTAATCACGAATGTTCATTACAAGCTGTTTTCGAAGCCAAAGCCTCAGACCTTAACCCCCATGTACCAAAAGAACCACTAAATCTACAACCTACACTCAAGACTCTCCCCGCTCTAACCTGAACTCGCAACCACAAGGTGAGCTGCATCCCTGCTGTCAGATTAGAGTGCTTAGGGGTCTCAGCCTCACAAGGTTGTTGGATTCAGGTTCAAAGCGCACCTCAAAGCGCTGAGCCTTGATAACAGCCATGAATTTCTCCTCCAGAACCTTATGAATCCGAAATCCCAGTTACGCTTTGTAGTGAAGCTCCCTGCGTCGCTTCCTAAACCCGAACAAGGCCCCACCGCATAATATCGTCATTGGAAAATCCAGCGTTACAGTAAGTCACACCAAGAACGAGTTGCAACTGAGGGTCAACCAACATGCAGATCATCATACTAGCAGTACTAAGAACGGTAATCGTTTCCAGGTGTAAGTATGCCTTCATCAAGGCGTTTTGGGCTCCAAAGCAACCTTACCCCCAACCAGCCCTGAACCCCAAGCCCTGAAACACCTACAGTTTCAAGCCTCCACAACATGCCTGATTCCCCCGGAAGCCTGAACCCAAACCGACTCTACCTATAGTCTCCACTGTAGTTCCTTTTTGGGGATACCTTATAGAATCCTTAATATTATAATTGGTTACACCAAAAAAAGGAGCTACAGGTATCCTTATAGAATCCTTAATATATAATTGGTTAAACCAAAAAAGGAACTACAATGGAGACTATCGGTACCGTCTCTATGGAGAGAGCGTGGAGAGCCTCATCGAAGCCCTCGGAGGGATCTGGAAGGGAGAAGTCGGCGAAGCAAGCGCCTAAGACTGCTGGGAGACCTTTACGTGAACGCTTCAGGATTTCGGGGCATGGGATCTATAAGGGCCTCTAAAGGGGTTCTATAAGGGTACTTTGACTTTGAGGGTTCTATTATGGAATAGGGTTCCTTTACATCTGGCCTGGGGTTTAGGATGGGGGCTTAGGACAGTAGAGTTTAGCATTTGTGTTGTTGCTGAGGGCTCTTTCACCGTCTGGCTTCCAGAAGCCGTCGAGAGTGGCTACGTGAGGAGAGCAAGCTATGGTTATCGCTTCAACCAGGAGCTAGAGGTTTAGGGATTAGGGACTTGGCGCGGATTGGGCGGTTTAGGGTTCGGGTCTCAGCACCCAAAACCAGGCACAGCCTTGCGAGGGTCCGAGTCCGACATTTAGGGCTTCGGGTTTGGCGTGTTGGGCTTAGACTTCGGTCGCCCGACGTGCAAGGCCACACGGCAGTGTGAGTGATAGAGGCCGGAACGTTCGGGTTTACATGTTCAGGGCTGAGGCTTCGGTCCGTCGATGTTTTAGGTGTTGTGAGTGTGTTTTAGGGTAATGAGGGCGAGTTTCGAAGTTTCATCATGTTGTACTACGGTTTGCTACCGAGACTCTTGTGTAGTAGCCGGTGTCCAAGGCATGGCTGATGCTAGTCGTGGCTGTGACAGTAGCAAAAGCACATGCCACGGTGGCTGTAATCGTGGAATCGTGGCCAACCTCACGCTTAAATCTGCAACCCTGAACCCCAAGCGAACTGATCGCAATTCAGTTCACACAGCCCTAAGCCTACAGTTTTCGGCGTTGGCCGCATGCCACGCTTAAAACAGTGGGCCTTAGTGAAACTTTACTGTGGACGATCTTAAAGCGCAGGTGCATGAGTGAATAAGTATAAGTACAAGCAGATATATGAATGACTCACACATATCAAGAGACATAGAACTACACCTGTAAACATAATCATAAATCTACACAACTCTAAACCGACATCTACAGCTAACTCTAAACATTAGTCATCATTAGTCTCCATTAAAATTGCCTATACGAATATACCAAGCAGCGACAGGAGTAATACTATAGCAACAAGAGAGCACTTCTCAGGACGCACGTAACGGCGGATGGAAGCTGCGGCTCTAAGAAATCGACTCAGGGCCGATGGGGCCAAGTCCGGGACGGCGTCCAGCCTGGCGGGGGTTTTTTCGGGCTTCCGGTCTCCAAGTTTGTAGAGGGGTTTGAAAGGGGCTCTGAACATTGTATAAGGGCATATAGGGAGTGTGATGAGGCTTCAATCTTCAGGGTAGTGTTTCGGATTTGGGTCTGAGGGTTTCAGAGTGCCAGGGTTTTGGTTTGGCGGCGGGGATTTTCCCCTCTCGCATGGCTAGGGGTCAGTGCCAGCAGGTTCAGGTTGCAGGGTTATAAGGTTAAGGGCCTCTGGGTCAATAGGTCTATAGGCTCTATGGCATGGAGGTTCGCGGTTTCAAGGGTTATCTTTGGGGCGTTTACGGCCCGAGGCTGCGGTGTCCTTCGTGCGACCCTGGCGTCTGGTAGCGGATGCAAATTCTGGAAGGTTTAGGGTTTAGGGTTTATAGGGCCGTAATGAATTTGAAGCGAGTTTTGGGGTTTTACCGCAGACAGGGCCCCACCAGTAGCCGTAGTCCTCTAAGTTCTCTCTGCGGATGATTTCAACACCTCCATCGGTGCGGCAGGACACTTGCTGGGTTCTGAGCCTGAAACCCATCTACCCCTAAACCGAACTCGCAAACCCATTAAACTTCCAACCACCCGGGAGAGCCCAGTTGCGTAATTATATAGTGAATTACTGAACTCTGCAGCTGGCTAAACCCTAAACCCTAAACCCTGTACTACATTGCTACATGTCTGGGTTGAAACACTGGCAGCCCGCCAGGTATAGATATTGGGCTCCCAAACCACCATGACCCCAAACCGCAGACCGTGGAACTTCAGGAAAGAATCCGAGGCGAAAGCCGTTTGTGCCAGTGCTTCTTCTCCTGTCGTTCAGGTCTTTTTGGTTGTTTGCTTTGCTGGTCTGTCCATAGGCCCTAAAGTAGTTCCTTTTGGGGTTCATATATAGAATCCTATAAGGTAACCCCAAAAAGGAACTACTATGGGACTACTATGGGGCCTATGGGTGTCCTAGAAGTCCTGCAAGAACAGACCCCATCAGGTCCTCTTCTGTCAGCTCTACCCTTGGCGGCTCGCCGTCCCCGTCAACCTCCAATCCATGGTCCGGCGTGTAAGGTTCCCCCTAACGGACCAGGTACCTACTATATAGGGCCCTAGGGGCTCTGGTACCCTATATAGTAGGTACCTGGGCGGTTAGGGTTCCAGTAGGGTTTGGATGGGGCTTGGGGACATCTACGAGAAAGTGATTTAATTTGGCTTTTTGGCTCTGTTAAGAACTATATTACTGTCGTGGTGGTTCTTGCTGGCTCGGCTCAGACTCGGTTGTGCTTCTGGGAGCTTGGAGGCTTACTTCGCATCCGAACATGCGCTTGCAAACGAGCTCTGTGGAGATGCCAAGGCACCAGCCGAACCAGATCACTCTACAAAACTGCTTGCTGCTAGCAGCCGATGCTTGCAGTAAGGATGCTACTTGTGGTAAGCCCCCCTCCGTTCTGCACTTCCTGGACCAGTCAACCATAGCAAGAGGGCCTCATTAGGTTGAAGGGTTGCTCAGATTTTGATGATGTGTCCAGGGACTACCATTGAACCATAGTAACCATAGTATGCTAAACCGAGGTTTTCAAGTGGGGGCACGGACCTTTTTGAGTTGTTCAGCTGACGGCATGCTCAAATACTCTTCGCCGAAATTCAGGTCATTTCGCTGTCGTATACGGCTCAAGCGGTACAAGTTTAACGCTCCGTATGCAAAGTCTCAGGGCGAGTGGGCCCTTCACCTAGAAACGCCAGCAAAGTAACCTGCCCATCACATATGGGAGTGCTTGGAAAGCGCCCCTCCTAATATGGTACAACGTGCCTGCAGGAGGTGAGTGATCAGTGCATGCTACCCGAAGGGGCAAAATTTTGCTCCCCTCGATTCCAGTTGCCAGCCCGGTTGCCGGGATGGCGGGTTCCACGTCAGGGCTCTGGGTTGTTGAGAACTCGATGTGCGGCATCGCTTCGGCCCTGGACTGCTTGTTGATGGACTGCACGCCGCCACAGCTCCTCCTCTGCATACTGCTGCAGCGCGCGGCTGAGCCTGAGTGAAAAGAAAGTGTGGTCTGCAAAAACATGGGGGTACGTGAAGCCTTGGACACAGACACAGCGCTGTTGAAAACAGACGATGCAACTGGAGCATGCGACATCATGCGATGAAAATGCAATCTTCAGAACAGCTCAGAAAATTCAGATACCCTTCTTGTACCCCACCACAAGTAGAGTGTTCAAGCTTGAGGTAAGGAGCCGGTACGCACGAGCAAACTGGCGCATGAGATTCCGGAGAGGTGGTTCCACCCACCAGTTCGGCGGCCGAATGTCGAGGCTCTCCACGAACGAGTTTTCAATCGTGGCGCGGTCCATGCTTGCCTCAATACACCCTGTCGGCCGGGCTAGGGCGAGAGATCTCTACCATCGAAGGTCCCTGCGAGGCAAATGCAACCAACACTAAGTTGCTGTCGCACATACATTCATGTATATGTATGTATACACCTAACTGTATACACGTTCAGAACTATTCACATAGGTGCATACATGCAAAAAACACGCCCACATGAGCTTCACATAAACAGAGATACACGTGAAGATGATATATGCAAACATGTAGCTGTATCACATAACACCTAAAAGAAAACAGATTCTACAGCATCAGAAATTCTCTCGAGCCTTCGGGCCGAATGCCTTCAGCAGATGTGCATATTTGCAGCAGAATACTGAATGTTAGATGATGCTAATTCTTGGGTTTCAACCCTCACTCTCGCACACAGCTGGCAAGGCTCCACGTATTTTGGGTTGAGGGTTTAGGGGTGCAGGGCTTCGGAAGGAAGGCTTCCAATGGACGGTTTCGGCGCTCACACTCGGAAACGCCAGGCGAGGCATCTGGTTCGAGGCCTGCTTGAGTAAGACATGAGTTTAGTTTAAAAGATTAACACCACAGAGACAAATGCTAAAAGGTGGGGGTCTTCTCTCACTGAGATCCATTGTCATCGATGGTAAACCTAGTTATGGATCTCTGGCAGTACCATTATTGGATAACACAACAGGGTGATCAAGTGCGATGAGGCACGCAAGGGTTATTAAGGGCGGGAACTACCCTGAGTATCACACACGATGGACGGTTTAGGGTTTCGGTGCTCGCTCTCGGGCGAGGCCTGTGGTGTAGGGCCTTGTTGGCAGTCTCAAGGTAGAATCCCAATCTCCCTTCTCCAATAACCGGGCCGAAACAAAGGTTCTAACTTCCTAGAACAGACTCAAGTATATTCGGCCACAAACTTTTAAGTCTCCCACTGGCGATTTAAGCCATATGGTTATATATATATATATATACACATGGGTGCGTACATATATATATATATATATATACATAGTATGTATGTATGTATGTATGTATGTATGTATGTATGTATGTATGTATGCAGGTATGTATGTGTGTATATATATATATATATAGAGAGAGAACCCTACGAGCAAATGGAATTTGGGTTCTCTGGGTGCGATCTTTCTGAGCCTGAGACTTCGAACCTACACCTCAGACCCGGCATCGCTACACAGCCGCCTCCATCTCCGTCGTCTTCTTCGCCTCCTTCCGATTCGGAGATGGGGGGCTGCTCTTCTTGGGTTTTTATTCCTTTTGCCGATTTTGTCTGCAGCCTTTTCCGGATGGAGCAAAGCCTCAGGATGCAGACGGGGGGTTGGCCTGAGGCCTTCATACGAAAGCCTACCAATGTGCTCAACACACTAGCTCCCATGTGGGGGGTTTGCTATGACCAATCCCAGTCCCTTTCCTGTGGTACCTCCAGTACTGGTGCTTAAACCCTAAGCGTGCTATCTGCCCTTCCCAAGCATGAGAGTACTCAGCAGCCCTTGGGAGGAAACCCAAAGTTGGAGTGTAGCCCATGGCAGCTTCTCAGCTCCCCAAATCGCGAGTTCAGCCCAAAGCCGGCTAGCCATCAGCCCTAGCGATAGATGGAGTAAGGTTTACAGTTGAAGCTTGCTTTTTGTTCTGCCTTTCGGGTGAAGGCTGTCAGATAATACAAGGGGGTTAGAGTGTATAGTAGCCTGGCTAGCGATTTCGGAGTGCCAACATCCAGGTAATGAGCATCAGTGTTGCAATCTCGCTATACACATCTCCACACCCTAAGTCCCTAAGTCCCAAACCTGATACCTCAACCCCAAAACATAGCAGCCTGAAAACCGCTGATCCTGGTAGTTCTGTCAACCAAGAACACTCTTCAACTAGTTTGTTCGCACAGCTACGTACCTATAGAGTATCTGCTTCCGAACCCCTACATGAGCGCTAGTTTTGAGTCATAAACCTCCCTTCATGGAAGTTCCTAGCCACCCGCTACCTATGAACTACTTAGACTTAGACATAGCATCTTCATCAATGTGTCACAGGAAAGTGAAGATCTCCTGCGGGCCTCAGCCCAAAGCCACAACCCTGCAGAACTTATCGAGCCTCCTCCGCAGGAGCTGCAGCCGGAGGAGCCTCTTAGAGTAGCGTCCGAGCCCCTAGAGGGACAATGTAGGGGCCTTCATAATTAGAATAGGGTTTTTGGGGTATATTATACTGTGCTATAATCATAAAGAGGAACCCCCCAAAACGGTATAGGTAATTCTTTAGGCCCCGGTAGTACTTACCTTACTTGCGGAGCAGGGAAGGGAGCCTCTTCAGAGATATCGCACTTATTAAGGCTCCGGAAAAGGATCCCACTTATTAGGGTTTTGACGGTCTTTCCTGAAAGTTCGCTGTACCTGAACTGAGTGCCAGAGACTTCCAGGTCTATGCTGTCGAGGTCTCCGATGAAGGGGATCATGGGTAAGCTGCTCTGCAAGACTGTGTCGCAGAGACAGTTGCTTGCACAAAGGAACCGACTCCAAGCAACCTGCCAGTTGTCCGACCACCTGTGCTATTTTCTGCACCCAAGCTGTAGGAAGAGAGGGGGGGCAGCACCAGGGCTTCGCAGCCTTCGAATATGTTCCTGGGACCCTGAACTCCAAAACGCCTTCAGCCTAGGGTTCAGGGTACTTTGTGGTTGGAAACTCTTATCGTCCAATCTTGAGTACAAGCTAGGGTGCAGCATTTGCAGCATGCACATACATACATACATATTGTATGTGTGTATATATATATACATGCATAGAACGATAGATAGATAGACAAATAGATAGATAAATACATAGATAGATAGATAGATAGATAGATAGATAGGTAGATAGGTAGATGGTAGATAGATGGTAGATAGATAGATAGGTAGATAGATAGATAGATAGATAGATAGATAGATGGGTAGACAGATAGATAGACAAATATACATAGATAGATAAATCGATAGATAAGTACATAAGAGAGTAATTAGAAAAATAGATAGCTAGACAGATAGAGAAACAAACAAACAGATAGATGATGTATCATACAGTTGGTCTGACCCACTACATGGCTCATATCATGTAGTAGGATATGCTGCTATTGTGCTATGCAATGCTCTGTCTGAGATCTGCACGGCTTCGCCTTCCCCAGCCTTTGCAAACACTGCTTCTCCGGATGATGCGCTTAGTGACTCGGGAATTTGTGGGTGTAGGCCTTCATGCCTCAGGGATGCGATTGTAACTGTGGAAGGAGAAACCCTGTGGTCAAAGCCTGTTGGAAGCTTAGGGGTGAGCTTTAAACATCGGGGATCCACTTTGTAAGCTTGAGCGTCGATGACTTCACACGGATCTTCCCAACCTTATCATGTTCAAGCGAAAGGGCAAGCAAGGATGTGCTCAAGCTCCCTTGGCCGAGATGAGACGGAATCTCAACGACATTAGGAGCCTGCTGACGTAGAGCCGTAGAATTTTTTTGGGTGGTATCTGGAGGCTTCGAAACATGGGTCTTGCCGCCTCGTTGAAACGAATAAAGGGGAGTTTTTGGGAGCACACGCTAGAATCCGAGGATTTCTCAGCGCCTCTATCCCCAACCTAAGGCCAGAAGCCAAACCTACCCCAGACCCCCAAAGGGATCGAAAAAATAGATCCCCTAATTAGGGACCCTAACTACTAAAGGGTACTTTATAGGAACCCCCTTAGGGGATCTATTTTTTAGATCCTTTTGGGGGTCTGGGACCCTTCGCCTCTGCAGCGGCCGCTGCTTCCTGCGCTCAAAGTCTGAAGTCTTGTGATCAACGGGGTTTCAGGTGGTGGCAGTCATCTGTTTTGCTTTATCAATTCTGCCTATAGTCTCCATTGTAGTTCCTTTTTTTGTTAAACCAACTTTATATTTAGGATCCTATAAGGGAACCCCCAAAAGGAACTACAATGGAGCCTATAGGTATCAAGCTCCGATCTGCAACTGGTTGCTTTTGGTAGTCGGGTCGTGGTGCTCTTGAGTAAGGGTTTAGGGTTTAAGGTTTAGCTGACGCTACAAGAAGCTTTGATTTGGGCGTGGTAGGGCCTATAGCTTCTGCAGTCGGACCTGAAGATTCAAGGGTTCTACGGCTTGACGCTACAAGGCTTGGAGGCTCGCGCACTACGAGCGCTATCATCAAAAGCTGCTTCTCTGATAAACGCCAGCAGTACTCCAGAGATTAAGCCTTAGCCTACCCTCAGATCCTCCAGCAAATAAGGCTGCAAGCGCAAATCCCCGCAAACCCAAACTCCTGAACCTCTTATACATTCCAGGACTGCAGCCCTTCAGATTCCGTTCCAAAAATCAGTGCAACAACCCCATTCAGGAAGCTTGAGAGGCAGCGCGCTCTTCCACTGCTTTCTGTTTGTTGGGACTCTACATGCAACATACGAAGCAAGAACTACAGACTGCTGAGCCTGCTTTCCACACCTGTATGCTGCAGAAGCTCAGCAAATGGGCTGGTTGTAAAGATAACGCTCGTGAGATGATACTTGCAGAGGATTTTGGGGTCTAGGGTGGAGGACTGTGTAGGATTTAGCACTCCGGCTCGAAGCTCAGGCGAGGGAAAGTTTACAAACCCAGGCAGGGGATCTGTCCTGCTGCATTGCTTCACGCTGCTGGGCCCACTCGGCCTGCCCGAGAGTCTACCAGAGGCTGAATAGAACCTTGACCAAGGCCTTCCACTATATCTTGTTGAAGCTGACCTCCAGCTCCACACCCGAATGTGAACATACAGAAACCTACAGAGATGCCCTGCACCTTGGCATTCGATGCATCTTTTTCTATGGGCAGGGCATCAAACTGAAACTTTTCGGGCTTGAAGACTCGCATGATCTCTGTCAAGCCCTGATCACTACGAGGCCGCGCTGAAAAAGGTCTCAGAACATCCCCGGTAGTGTACTGCAGCAGTCTGAGGGCCAGGGATGGATACGCTCCCATCTCAGCCCGCAGTTCTCCCGAAGCAGGGCCTGTTTCTCTTGCATCTCCAACCTCAGCAAGGTTTGCAGGGTCGAGTCTCAAGGGCTTCGTACTTTGGAATCAGGGCTTGTAGATAGGGCCTCGGCCGTCAATTTAGGGTACTTCGAAAGACCAAACCTTCGAAACAACTTGCACCTGAAACCCAGTCTGCTGCAGCCGAGGGAGGGTCTATGGGAGAAGAAATGTCCGGGCACTGAAATCTTAACCCTCTGACATGGCAAAAGCGTGGTGTACAGATTCCCCAGTCCTGCGAAGGCTACGCAGCCATCCTTGTTGATACCAAAAAAACCCTGTGAATCTTGATAATCCTACAGGATTAAGACAGTTCTGGATTTGGGGGCTTACAGGACCAACACACCAACACTGCCTGCTTTTCGGCACGTGATTGGGACATTCTACGCAACACAGAGAAGTGATCAAGGTCCCGCCCATGTGCGTCATCTGTCAGGGCAGAACCAGAAACCATGATCAAAACCTGTTGGTTAGGGTTTAGGGCTCCTTTGTAAAATGTTAAAAGCCTCGCTCTGCCTACAGATCGGCAAGGTAAATAGTAGCTGGTGCTTGCCTGTGCGGCTGAAAATAGCAGACTGGCTGGAAGACCAGGGACGGCAGAAGAGCCCAATGGAATTTCAGGTAGTGGCCTGGTGCCTGGAACAACACCAAAACATGAATTCGAAGCGAAACCCAAGCTCTGGACCCAACATCTGGATTTCCCCGAAGGTTTCGGGGCTCACGCTCGGACACGCCAGGCGAGGCTATCCAGGTTTATGGGATTTAGCCTTCCAACTTGTTCCGGGCAGGGCGCAAAGGAACAGAAAGCCCAGATAGGTCGCAGAAAATCAGAAACAGCATGTTCCCGAAGTTCTAGCCAGGTATACCTGGTCTAGAAAAATAGCAACACGCCAAAGTGTGAAGCCTTTAAATAACCTTCACCCGTATATAGCCAAAAACTCACCCCCCCCTGCAGCCAAACCGAAACCCCAATCTTGCAACCCAGATACCTTCTAAACCTAACTAAAGCTTGAAGCCCGAACCCAACCGTAAACGAAACCTTTTCACAAATGAGCCCTACATCACCATACCCAAAGCCTGTGCCTCAATAATCTACTAACCCCGAGCTTTGGAAATCCTCCATCCACTGACCCTGAAATCAACAGCCCTAGCTGCAGAAGATCTGAGCGCGAAGCAACTTCTGTTGCGTGGCGTGCTGCCGCTGGAGCTCAAACTCAGCATCTGCCTTCTCCTGCAGCGAGATGTCTCATGTGATGCTAGCATGCCGTTGCGGTGCTTCGTTTTCAAGGCCCTGAAGGGCCTAGGTTGAGAAACCCATACAGTAAGGTCCGGAACAGTGATACATGCTCATAACCTATAATGGCTATCCGGCTATCCACAGGCTATCCTAGCACCGATCATGCTTACGTAATCCTTGTTCCGACGTGTTTGGAGTTATGGTGAGACCATTAGGTCTTGCAACCCTGGTGAAGCGTCCTGCTTCTCCTTGCGCAGCTGCTCGTAAACATACTCAAGGTAGTCAGAGCTTGGCTGGCCCATCTCAGCGAGCGAGGCTTTTTGGCCGAGGGTCAAGCTGCGGGTTTTAGGGTCGAAGGTGTTGAAGGGGCCTGACATGACTAAGCTGGAGTACTGAGGATCTCGTACAAGCACAATAAGCATTTTCGGCAACCCGAAACATAGGTTCCGACGAGGTTCGAGGGTCACTTCAGGACATTTGACATGCATTTTGAGCAGAGGAAGTTGGCCGAGCAACGAGGCAAGCCGGATGCCAAGGGGCCCACATCAGGAGCTCGATAGCAAGATATACGACTTGCTGAATTGATTCACCTACTAGACTCTGAATTGGTTCTTGCATTTCTTCTGCTTCCCATTCGGAGAGCATAGTATCATCGAAGTCTCCACGTAACAGGCTAGTGCCCCGTTTACATTGTCCCCTGTCCTGTTCCTAGACCAATTGCGCAGCGCTTCACCTCTCCGTGTACCCCACATAAGCACTGGCTCACGAAAGTTAAGCCCAGTTTGCTCTGACTGACGACAGGCCAACTCCGACTTGGATCGGTCGAGAAGAGCCGCACCTGAGGATATAACCTCAAAGTCTAAAGAATATATGTATGTGTGTATATGGATGCATGCATGTGTGTGTATGTGTGTATGTGTGTGTGGATGTATGTATGTCAGTAGGTGTGTATGTGTGTATGTGTGTATGTATGTATGTATGTATGTATGTATGTATGTATGTACGTATGTACGTACGTATGTATGTATGTATGTATGTATGCATGTATGTAACGGTATGTATGTATGTATGTATGCATGTATGCATGTATATATGTATGTATGTATGTATGTATGTATGTATGTAACTATACAGCGTATGTATGCAG